GGAATAAACATATGAATAAATACAGGAATACATATGATCCAGTGTTTTCAGTGAGATTAAGTGTGTGTGCTGTGGCTCAGCTGGAAAGCAGTTGACTCACAACCGCAGGGCAGAGTCCTGCATCGGATCGGGTACCCGCGATGGGTGACCCGCAAAAAAGGTGATTCGCGGGTGGTATTTTTTCAAACCCTTTTTTCCGGGTTCGGTTCTGGGTAAAACAAAGATGATGCGGGTCGGGTCGCGGGTGTTGCATAATAAATATATTTAAATAATAATAATGTAGTTTAATGTTTAAATCCTCAGACCTCTACCCCGCGGGACTGTGCATAATCATAACCTCTGCAGCGCATCATCTGCTTCTGAGCGCGCCACATTCTGAATGGCTGAGGTGAAGCTCTCTAGCGGAGAATACAGCATTTTCCAACACTTCCTCAAGAGCGAAATCCAACGTCTGGGAGGCTTTTGGTGTCCTCCTAGATGGAGAGAATAACCAACATCCCACGCTTTTTGAGAGAAATATGCAACTGCGTGTGTTAATAATTGCACGTTTTCACTGCTCATATATATATGCGGGTTCGGGTCGGGTTGCGGATCCTGTGCCGACGGGTCGGGTCGGGTTGCGGAACTAATTGGTAATATGTGCGGGTAGCGGGGCGGGTTCGGTTTTGCACGTCGCGGGTGCGGGGCGGGAGCGGGTCTTGAAAATCCGACCCGTGCAGGACTCTGCCCTAATATCATAACATGTGTGTTCTGGAGAATCACAGAACGGACGATTGTCCTTATTAATAATAATAATAACGCTGATAACAATTGTTTTTTTAAATGGCACTTCATATCAAAAAGGTTGCCGACCCCTGATCTAGTGTATTCATACACCTCACTGTTTATTCATCATTCAATTAATTCTATATTTTATTCTAGATTGTGTACATTACTTTTCACTTTACTGCTTTTTGCACTCCTGGTTAAGCTAAACTGCATAAATGGCAAGTAAGGGTTGATAAAGCTGGCGACACATTTGGGATACATTACGTTTAATAAACAGATTAACAATAAGAGGGGACATCTTTGAGCCATTAAGTCAATACCAAATAAAGACTGGGAAATACAAATCAAAAAGATAGCTTTTTTAAACTTAAGTAGCAGTATATTACACATTCTATAATGTACATTTCCTGCTACACATACAGACATTTGGCAAAGTTTCTTTATTATAAAACAATTTTTACCTGAATGGTCCGCAGTGCTGGGACGGTCTGTACCTCACTATGGCAAAGATGGTGGGCAGCATACACAGAAACAGCATGAACAGCAGCATGGCCACGTAGAAATTGTTTGATCTAAAAACAGCCAAACACAGACGACATGGATTCATAAAAAAAAAGGTTCACATTACTGCATTGTATTCATCAGCCCAATCGGGTGATTATAGTGTTCTTTAACAACATATGTATTGGGCCCAGCTAAAATCATAATCTTTCTTTATGTGACTTTTTTACCCACTGCAAGTAAAAGAGCATCGTGTGTTGTAAATGGAAAAGCTGAATTTAGGGAATTACATTAAAGAGTACAATTGTAATTGTACTTCTGAGGTGTGCTACAGCTAACAGGTTTCCTGGAACAGACGTTATAAACCATTATTGCAGCTAAATATTCTTCTACAGAATGCTCAGGCCCACATTAGCTCCACTCCACTGGTGCTGCCTTTAACAGCAGTGATCGCATCATCTGCTGACTGCACATCATGGGAGCAGAAATGTGCAGAGACTCCACAGTACACTGGCCATTAACACTGAACTAGGATTGCATAATTATTCTTATTTATTTTAATAAATATCAATTTCTCCGATTTTGTATCCTGACATCTCAGCGATGGTGCCAACATTAAAGTCCTATGTTTGGAACACAAGATTGTACATGAATAATATTTTTAACCCACAAATGGATCAAATGTGCTATGTAAAAAGTTTGTCAAGAATCCATACAGATGCATCATCATTATCATGGTTTCACTTTAGAAGAAGCCAGGATATCTGTTCCCCTCCACTATTGTTGCTACGCTAGGCTAACTACATCCTGATTCCACCTCTGTTTTTAACACACACATGTTTTGGGAAACACACATTGTCCATGTTAATGTCTGAAATTTTCTGAATTTCATTTCCATTTTTTAAAGCCAGTTCTCAAACAGTTGAATAAGGGGATTGTGAATGCTATGTGTCTTGGAGGCGTGTGGTGCAGTAGGTTGAGCGTGTTCGGATCAGGGGGTCACAGGTTCAAACCCCACTGCAGTCAGCATCCCGTTTCGTCCCTGAGACACTTCACCCCAAATTGCTCCTGTGGGGATTGTCCACAGTACTGAGTATGTAAGTCGCTTTGGATAAAAGCATCTAATAAGTGACATGTTTAGCCTTTAATGCTACATTAGCAACTGTGAGGTCAAACAATCCACCCTTTGTAGCTGCTGCATTTTTAGTCAATGTACAGTAAAATAATTGAATGATGCTAAAATATTCCATGTTATCCAAAACTAAAATATCGACAGTGCACATGCAGTGCTTTTTAACACCTCATAATTCTGAAGAGGGGGCGTACAAAAGCCTTCTTCACTATCAGCAATATGTCAGCATCATTCTCTCCCTACCTCAGCACAACTGCATCTAATAGTGATTACATGTTCTCTCTGCTGTGTGAGTGTGTGTGTGTGTGTGTGTGTGTGTGTGTGTGTGTGTGTGTGTGTGTGTGTGTGTGTGTGTGTGTGTGTGTGTGTGTGTGTGTGTGTGTGTGGATTTCCCCCACATCTGGGAGTGACTGATAAGCACTGAAAGAGGCAATGACAGCCTCGTTACATAAATCAGAGTGGGCTGAGCCCTCAGGCCTGTGTGCACTGTATGTGTGTATGTTTATATGTATTTATATATATATATATATATATATATATATATGTGTGTATGTATATGACTCATATGATGCACTGAAGGACTACCTACTGATTTGCCATCATAAGGCAGAGCTGTTATATTAATAAGATAAGAAGGAAAAGCTATAAAGTTATTGGTGGTTGTATAGTAAGAAAAGTGAGCTGATGCAGTTCATCTCTATCAAGGAGAGGCTCACGTGCACACACTGTGCACAGTTCAGTGACAGGGGTGGAGTGGGTGATGTCACAAACAAAGACATAGAGTCATGTGTCCTCTTCTTCTGAGAGTGTGAGATAAGATACTTGTACTATAGATCATTTTCTTTGCATGTATGTATGATGTGTATCTTTCTCACTACAACTAAACCTCTAAAGAAAATTATTTCAAGATTACCTCTTGGTATTTTGTAAAAAAAAGTAATGGACATTTATAGTGTTAACCTTTTCAACATCACAAAACCTTTTATCTTTAATGAACCTGTCCTTTTCAGAATTATATTGATGTGCAATGCAAGTTTTAATATTAAGTAGGTGAAGTTTTGGTTACAGTGAGTTAAGCTCACACAGGCACAGAGGGCAGCTCAGGGGTCCGTTAGGTGAAATGCAGAAGAGGCAAGAACATCATGTATGTGTTAAACCACCAAAAAACAGGTGTTTTTATGTTGTAATTGTATTAAGATATTCAAATGTATGTTGCAAACTTAACAAAGCATCCTATCACAGACACCAGGTAAAAGTTGCAAAACACAATATTTCAGTAATCCTGTGTGTGTGTGTGTGTGTGTGTGTGTGTGTGTGTGTGTGTGTGTGTGTGTGTGTGTGTGTGTGTGTGTGTGTGTGTGTGTGTGTGTGTGACCTGGAGGCTCGGAACACCTGCTGGTGGGGGACATTGCAGGTGAGCACGGCCCAGCTCCTCAGATACATCAGACCAATCAGCTTCAACACGTTAAAGGCAGGGAGACAGGGGGAGAAAAACGCTCCCATCCTGGAGGAGAGAGAGGTGAGTCAGTCACACACACACACACACACACACACACACACACACACACACACACACACACACACACACACACACACACACACACACACACACACACACACACACACACACTGGGGTCACACCTCATATAAAAATACATTACAGCCAGTGGCTCGAGGTTTCACTTCATTAAGTTCATTGCTTCAAGGCGACAATTGTGAAATGAGTTGAGGAAATACAGCGGGCAGGCCACAGAGGTGTAATGGAGACATTAGAGAGGACCACAGTCCTTTAAACAGGGTCCTGGAGGCTGGTCAGCAACGGCCACACTATTAAGTCTGAATCAGATCTTCTATTAAACACACGGTGGCAAGGACATGCTGATATAGTGGAATGTGTTCTCAATATTTCATTGTTTTCATACTGGCATTTCACACTTACCAGATCATCCCTTGGTTATAAATCAGATGCAAAACATTCTCTGCTATTTTGAACTCTCCATATTCAGGCTGAGGAAAGAGAGAGAAAGCATGTGAACCCTCTCAGCCTCATCAGGTGCTCACTGTTCTCAGACAGCAAACAAAAACATGGAGAAGCACTTCCTGTGCACCACAGAGCATGACCCCACCCCCCTACACAGGGTATTACACTCGTACCTACTTGTAAGTAGATTAGATGTCTTTTGAGTTTGAGATATCCCAACCCAAGGTAGAACAAAACACAGTTTTTTCATCATTTCAATATGTGTAGCTTTTGAAATGGAAGGTTGTATAAATATTTTACTGCAAAACATTTTTGGATCCTTCCTATAACCAAAGATGTGAAAATGTGGTAGCCTATATTCCAGATGGGATTGTGACTGTTTTTATTAAAAGATTACTAAAGATCTTTGAATAAGAACTGGTACTTTTGGCTGCACTGGTTAGCTGTTAGCGGCTGGACAGCAGAGGGTGAGGTAAGGACTCAAATAACCCAATTTTACATTACATAGCATTTAGCTGACGCATGAATCCAAAGCCATCAAAAGTTCTGCCAAACAGACAGTTGGGCAGCTTTAAACATTTTTTCGACAACCTTCCATTTAAAAAGCTAGACATTAAAGTAATGAAAAAACATGGTTGTGCTTTGTTCTACCTTGTGTAGGGGTACCTCAAAAGCCTTTTTGGGGGGGGTTTGTTCCTCTACTATATATTTGGGTCCTTTGGGTCCTGGTTTAAAAATGTGTTTTTAGCAATCCTTTCCAGAAATCTGGCAATTTATGTCTCTGTTCTTAACATTTGTTCTCTAAACATTTTTTAGAATCAGTTTTGCTGGATGTTGTTAGAAATGTATATCATCATGTTGAGCTTTGTGCTGGACTATTTCTTTGTCGAGGGGTGCTTGGAAATTGCTCAAAGCATTTTATAGTAAAAAAAAACTCAACATGTGAACAACTTACAAACTTGCTCTCTAAATCCCAGCAGCAGCAGTCACTGAGGTAGCGGACCACCAGACCTCTGATGAAGTCAATGAGGAGGATGCTGGCCACCGTGAAGATCATGTCGATGATGGACAGCTTCAGCATCTCCTGAAAACACATGAACATGAACGTTAGGTAAATATACAAACATATGCAGTTCCTTTAATTATCCAGCACTCAGACATGTTCATTGTTTGAAGGTACATAGAGAGCAATAATGTGGGATGTTTATCACGAGTAGACAGGGACAGCCTTCATACTGTCTTTATTTAGCACGGTAGTTGGTTGTAAGAACAAACACTTTGGTAGAGATTAAAAGTGTCTAAATATAAAATGGATGTATTGATATGACATTTTGGGAAACCCAAGTCCAATTTAGGATGACTTTGGTAGTTGTAATTCTCCTGCCATCTAGTGCCATCCTCTGGTCAAAAGTTCCCTCTGTGTGATACTTAATGTTCTGACCTAGTGGGTAACATTTTCCTATTTTAACATATGATAAGATCAGCTGTACCTGTTTACTGCTAGTAAGCAACAGGTTAAATGTTGTATACATGTACAGTATATTTTGTGGTAGTATTCTATATATCTAATTCTGAGCAATGTACTGCTCTTACATTTTGTATATTCTATGTTTCAAAGCTATGATGACCATTAGTCAACATCATAAGTAAACACAACCCCAAACAGTAAATATAATAAACATGCTCAGAGTGGAGAACCTGTCCAACATAGGTCTCCCAGCAGGGGTCCTGCTGAGAGCGGATGTTCTTCTCAAACAGAGACGTCTGGTTGGAGATACCCCCTGAGCCGCTGGTGCTAGTGTTCCTAACATCCAGCACCGTGGCAATGGTTGCTATGGTGATGTTGCGATGTTCAGAGACGGAGATCTCAGAGACCAGGGTGGAGAGGCTGTTCCCCTCCGGCTGAGAGATGGTGGCCAGGAAGGAGCTGGACTCAGACCAGTTCCCTGGACTCAGCGGGATCTGGAAGACACATGGGGAATATTACATTTTCATTCAACTTTATTGTCATTGCACAGAATATTAGTACTGAAGACAATGAATATAATAATAATAATAATAATATATAGAATATAATATATGGACAACTTCAATTTAGGCTGAAGTATATTTAGGCTGTTGTATTGCTACTTTTTCTTAAAGGTCCCCTATTATATTCTTTTTCATCAATATATTATAGTTCTCAGTTATATACAAAACATGTCTCTGAAGTGTTTGGCTCGTAATANCACCCATTTTATACCAGAGAAACTTTCATAACAGCGTTGTGATGCCAAACAGCGGGCAGCACTGCAGCGGTCGGTAAATGCCGCTGAAACACATTAATAAACAATGAACCACGGCACTCTGGAGAAAAGTACAAGGGTTGAGAAGTAGTTATTTAATTTAATCTGGCTTCGTATGATTAAAAGCAACACGAGCAGTCCCCCGCCGTAAACGGTGACATCATGACACAGCAGCGGCAGCAGCAGTCGGGCTCTGGGCGGTGTGAACAAAACGGGGGCTGAAAAGAAAAACCGGTTCCAAACCAAAAGAGTGCAAGCACGGAGCTAGAACGGGAACCGCGTTGGTGTGAAAGGGGCAAGAGAGGCGTGGGGAGGGACTCCTTATTTTCATCTAAAGTAACAGACAGAGAGTCAGCACTTTTGAAACGGGGCTGAAACAGAGGGAATTATGGGATGCTAAAATGATATGTTTGTATTACGAGCCAAACACTTCAGNTCTGTGTTTTTCAGTGTTTCTGTGTTGTTTCAGTGTTTTTTCTGTGTTTTTGAAACGTGCGTATTATACCCCCACAGAAACACGGAAACACAGAAACACAAAAACACAGAAAAAACACTGAAACAACACAGAAACACTGAAAAACACAGAAACACTGAAACACCGAGACACATAACAACAGAGATACAGAAACACAGAAACACAGAAAACACAGAAACACAAAAACACTGAAACACAGAAACACAAAAACACTGAAACACCGACACAAAAACACTGAAACACAGAAAACACAGAAACACAGAACCACAGAAACACAGAAACACAGAAAACAAAGAAACACAAAAACACAAAAACACAGAAAACACAGAAACACAGAAACACAAAAACACAAAAACACTGAAACACAGAAACACAAAACACTGAAACACAGACACACAGAAACACCGAAAACAATGAAAACACTGAAAAAACAAAAAACAGGCTTTTGTGCTAGTATGTTTTTGAATAAACAAATACTATTTTTCATTATGATTGATGATGACATGACAACCTGTGCAGCCCATGTATTGATTCCATCGGATAGCTTCTATAATACAAAACAAAACGTCTGCCTGCACTCCAAAATGATCAATAACAGCGAACGGATGGTCAAAGTAAGGCACAAATAAACATAATCACACAAAGCCTGGTTAGTGTTGCCTGACTTTATAAAGTGTGGTTTATTTTTATAAGTGTGTGGTTGCCTTTAGTCACTTTGCTCAGCACTACTGCTTGTAGGCAGGCATGACAAGACTCTTCAGTCGACCTATGTTCAGGGGAGGTGGGTTTAGTTTCCTGCACGCCTCGACATAAGAGAGACGTAAGCCTCTTAGCTCCGGAATCTTTCTTCTAGACCGTCAATTTTTTGGAGCTGGAAACAAACCGGATTCCAGAGCTAAGAGTGTGAAGAGGAAAAAACGGTACTTTTCAGGCTCTAGCTCCGAGCCAGCCCTGAAAATGCGTTGGTTTGAAAGGGGCATTAGAGTGGTGCTGCCACCATGTAGTGAAAGGATGAAATACAGTGTAAAGATTATTTAGTTTGACAGTGCTAGTGGGCCATAATAATACATTATAAGACCGAAACTGTGGGCCGTATTCAATCTGACCGTGATTGGACCGAGGGCCGGAATTTGGACATGCCTGGTAACACCCAGATTAATGGAAGCTCCACTTCAGTGTGTTTGTTATATCTCTCACAGGCTCCACCCTCTACTGGACTCTATGGTTACTACCTTATCCTGCGAGCATTCTCCTACTGAGATTTCTATAGACGTAACAGGCCTTGGGGCGGGCCTACCTGAATGCGCGCGCATCTCACAGTATAAAAGGAGGCCTCGCCTCCTCACTATCATCCTTTTCTCTTCAGCGGCGGAAGTGAAAATCCACTGAGCATTTTGAGACGAGAGAGAGATAGAGTTATGGAGCCAATCCTTGATCTCTTGATCCTTGACCTGCCCGAAGTGACCGAACCTGATCGCGGGGGCTGATCCGCACCCCTTCTGCTTCCTCTGCATGGGACCGGACCACACCGTGAGCAGCATGGGCCCGTCACAGCCTGCCAGGTGATCCCGCGGCTCACACGTCAGCATCGTGGGGATCATTTCCTGGCGAGAGGTGCCCCGCAGGAGGAGCCAGAGGATCAGGACCGAGATGGGCGAGCTGGGAGATGAGGAAGTGCCATTACGGTTCTCCCTTCCGTGGGGCCAGATGACCCCGGTCCCGGAGGAGGAGGACGATGAGGACGCCTCATTTCCCCCACCGCTGCCACCGAGGCCTGTAAGCCGCCTGAGACAGAGACAGGGGTTTTATGGCCCGGTGCATCCGGCGCAGCCGGCCTTCGTCTCGCCCCCGTTGCCAGACATATGGCAGTGTGGGGAGGCGACATGGCAGCAGCAGGGGTTACTGCATATGCGCCGCCTGCAGAGGTGGTTCTCCAGCCTGCGTTTGGATCCCAAGAGGCACAAACGGCGGCTGGTTACCATCCCCCCCTCATTAGAGGGCAACCTCCGGTTTTGGGGATCCCCGGATCACCTCCGGAGGGGGTCTCCACTGGGTCGGGTGACCTCCTACATCACAGTGTTGACGGACGCATCCAGAACAGGATGGGGAGGGACCTGCCTGAAGAGGGCTATAGGTGGGCGCTGGTCTCTAACAGAAACACGGCACAGCAACGTCCTAGAGCTACGGGCAGTAGTGTTGGTTCTCCAGCATTTCAAGCCCCAAATTCAGGGGAGACATGTAATGGTCAGGAGCGACAACAGCACCACAGTCGCTTATATCAACAGGCAGGGCGGAGTCCGCTCCGCGGCCTTGTTGACCACAGCGGAGAAACTGTGGTTATGGGCTTCAGAGGTGGTGTTATCTCTGAGAGCCCTCCACATCCCCGGACTGGAGAACAGAGGGGCCGACCTCATGTTGAGGGGCATCCCCCTGCCAGGCGAGTGGGTGCTTCACCCAAAGGTGGTGAAGCAGATCTGGGCCCAGTTCGGGAGAG